ACAAGGAAGTAGACTGACTTATTCATCAAACGGAAGCCGGTAGGCTTACAGAAGCTGAATTAGCAAAAAATATTCCCCTTGCGTGCTCATAAGGTATCATAAGATGAACAATATGGGCAGCCGAACTTACCCTAAATTCGAGTTCCATGCCTGCCGCTCCTTCCATGGGAGCCATCTGTTGCAAAGCCATTACATGCTGCCTCAATTTTACAGCCGGTACCTCGGTCGAGCCGCTGTTCACTGCGTCGAGTACAGCGTCATGAATGAAGATGTACTGATCTTCAGTCTAAATTGTGGGTACTACTCGTGTTTGTTCTAACGACAGCTAATCACTAGGTCAACGTACCTGCACCATGTACGATCGCTGACTTCGAAGCGATGTTACACAACCAAATATGTCGACAGTGTTCTCGTAACGGAGCCTTTCAAGCATGCAATCCACCACGATAAATGCTCCTGTCCGGCCAATTCCCGGCACTGAAATCTCTGCATTAATCGGATTCCTATGCCCGAAATTGCAGCTGTGCAATTACCTGCAATGCGAAATAATTGGGCCAGCATCCGGCGGATTGAGAGTTTTCACACGTTTCAGGAAAATAAGGAACGGAGTGGGATGATCGGGAACGCCGTGATCCGGCCAAGCCGTATACTGAAAAGAAATTATTGAGCTAAAATATAAAAAAGAGCCTTAGTGTTGGTTCTTTCTCGAAACTAGCCCCCAGAAATCACAAATATTCCCTTTTTTGGGCGAAAACGGCCTTATTTTTGGCCTTATTGAATGCATCAGATGTTACCTGAAGATGTCGTATCTCCCGCATTTCCATCTCTCCAACCACTTGTATCCGAAAAGCTCGCATTGTGTAATGAGCCAGCACAGTTGTTTCCAACAGTGTCACCTAAAGGAATGCACTATTAGTAGCACTGAAGGAAGATCCCCACTTTCTTGGTGATATCTCTGAAATCACCTACCTGGACCTCTCCATAAGTCGAGCTGCCCCGAGTTGGCCAGTATTGATCGCATTTCACCCGAGAGCGCTCTTCC